TACTGACTCAAGGATGTGACATCAAATATGCCAATTAATAAGAGCAGACGATAATGTGACTTTGATGTTGCTCTATTTTGTGATATCACATAAAAGTTTCCATGACTATTTATTGTGACTCTTATGACAAATATACTTTACTGAGACTAAAATCACTTGAAAAATTTGTTGCCACTTTGTTGCAACTTTGATCCCTTGAAAGTCACATGGAAACCACTTTATGCCTTGTCTTACTAAAGTTCCAGGAGTATTTTTACGACTTCCCATTTTGTTCTCATATTCACTTTTTGTCGAATTTATTTCATTGAAGTCACATGTAAACTTTTATGCGACTTGTCTCACTAAAGTTATGATTCCACTCTATACCGGACAGTCATTTACAATATTTACAGGTTTTGTTAACACTTTTTTAGTGACTAATTTCTTACAATTAAATATGACAATCCCAAATGGTCATAATGATTACATTCAAAAGAGAGATCTGTTTCAATATTTCCGAGAGCGTTCAGACATGATTTTGAAAAAGAATTTGTTTCCGCAAACTTGTTGGATTAAAAAAATTGCTTCCGTATAATATTGCTCCATTCCCTAAACCTCACAGTGTTAGAAAAAAGATTTCAAATGTTAAACATCCCTTGTCTAACTATCGGACAATATTTAAAAAAAAAATTATTTTATATTATTTATTTGTAGAAAGACTTTGTATGTTTTTAAACCAAATGTTACTTTTTAAAATAGTTTTCCTTCTGCTTTTGAAATATTCACTGCTATTCAATATGCTTACAATTTCTTCAAGATTCATGTTAAAAATTTCAAATTTTATATAACTCTTATATCCACTAACAGTCTTGAAATGATTTATTTTTTTCAAAAATATTATTACCGAGGGAGAAAAATAATGCATTTTTTGTGCGAGCAAATACTAAGCATTTTCACCAGTCGTTTTATAATCTTTTAATTTTAATTAGTTTTATTCTATTTTGCGTACATTTGGATTAATATTGATTATGTTTGCACTAAACAGATTATTTTCGGGGAAAAATGCAGATAAATTTTCAATAGAATACTATGCATTATGCATTAAAGTACATATTGTATTCAGATATTATAGGATTATCAGATATAACATTTACATTTATAATAAATTCAATGGATATATTTTAAATAACAGAGTAATTAAATTATATGTATGTAAAACAATAAAAAGTTTTATATATTTTTAAATATATTATATAGTTTTGTTCTAAATCTTAAATACCAATTAATTTTTGATTTAATTAACTTTAATTTTATAAATGAATATAAATTTAATAAGCCTTTAATTTTAATTAAGGGTTGGCGATATGTATGAAAAATTTAAGAAATGAGTGCTGTTCAAAATTTTAATTAAATTCAAATAACCTGATTTAATTAAAAACTAAACCCTTTGACGCTAGGAGAAATAGGGAATGATTTTCAATAAATGTATTTTTTGCCTGATAGAATTCGAAAATCGCAAAAAAATCATTGCTTAATTAGCCAAAGACAATTTAATATATAATGCTGTAAATGTTTGTGACGCCACAATAGGCATAACATATTTCCTAGCTTTTAAAATCTCTTAATTAATTTTTTTAAACATTTTCGATCGAATTTTAATTAAATTAAGCTAATTATTTAATTTTTATTACACTTTATAAAGAGCGAATATAAAATATTTTATTCTTTTCTTATCAATCAATGTAACGACAAATTTTTTATTTCAATACTAATGCAAAACTCATTAATTCACTGTCGTGACTAAATTGAAAACAAAAATCTATTTATAACTCGTTATTCTTTAATTCTTTCCACAAAAATGTTATAGAGAGAATTAGTAAATCGGTTATAATGATTCTCACATTCTTTTAGGATATTCCGTTAAGCCGAATTATTTTCAAATTAAATATTGATTATGGGGGGGGGGTTGGCTTTATTTTTGTCTATGTTATCTATCGACAAATCGCCAACCATGGATCTCTTCCCTTGTTCCTAAATGTCCGTTGGGAACAATTAATTTTCTTCTAATTTCGAATTTTTGATGATTGGAGTGGAGGCTTCGTTCTCCTGGCCCTAACCAATAAATTGATATTTTAACAGAAATTATTGATGTTAAGAGAATGATTTTCTTGATCCATTTAAGGTACTTTTCTTTATTTTTATATTTTTGGAACGTGGTCATGTTCAACTTATGTTTTACATAGTCAATAAATTTTTCCTAAACTATTTTATACATTTCTCTGGGATAAATATCATCACATCATATCCAAATTAAGATGCATCTGAAACAACCATATTACTTTAATTCTACAAAGAAACTACACCCCACTTATCACTATGGACTAAGAATTTTGAACTAAAACTACTACTACAATGTTATTTCATTTTAATAATAAATTTAAAAAAAATCAATCATACTTTTTTATAAAAACTTCGTACAAAATGTTTTAATTTATAAATAAAGTAATAAAGATGTTCAAATTATTATTGCCTACTCATAAGTTATTGAATATGACTAACAGTGACAATGGATTGTATGAAATCATTAAAAGCTTTTTTTAAAAAAAAAATAAAACTTAAGACCTGGATATAGTGTACAAAAGATAGGATACTTTAAAAAATAACATAAAAATTGTTAGCAATATGTATTATTAGCTGAGTCTTTTTTTAATAAGAACTGTATAAATACATCAAAATCAAGGTTGAAATTGAATCACTAATTGCTATCGGAATATTGGGTAATCAACCAAAATACCATCCTCTAGATGACACCATAACCAGATGGCGACAGTCACGGAGTCTCTTTGTGAAGTCACATATGACCTCTGCGACTTCGATGCGACCGCTTTTCAAGGTTACTATGTCCGCCTTTGGTGACGTCCCTTTTTGACGTCACATTGACATCAACATGAGACCACATTCAGATATTTAGTTGTCGCAGTCACCTAACCATTTGGCGAAGATGTTACCTATTCACGTCTCAACATGGTCACGGTTGACGAAACTGTGATATATTTACGTCTCAACAGAGTCACCGAGGGACGAGGATGTGACATATTCACGTCTCAACTCAAGATCAAAGATCTTCTCGACAAAGTCACATCTTGATCTCAACTGGGTCAAGATGTGACGAAATTGTGAAATGTACGTCTCAGTTGGGTCACCGTGTGACTGATCTGAGACGAGAATATGTCACATTCTTGACACATGGTGACGTTACTGAGACAGCTATATGTCTCATTGTGGTCTCGGTTGACGTCAAAATGTGACGTCCCCAAAAGTAGACATTTGACCTTCAAAAATCGTCGCATCGATGTTGCAGAGTTCACATGTGACTTCACAAATAAGCCTCCGTGACTGTCACATTTTTGTTGCAATCTGATAACGGTGCTATTTGGGTATTTCTTAAGTTATCCACGAAAAAGTGCTTGCTCATTACATGAAATTGAAATAGTAAAGGGTTCAATATCTTTTTAATGGATGCTCTAAGCACGATGGAAAGCGATCCCGATAGTCTTTAATGACTTTAATTGATATTGATTTTGCTTCTTGTTGTGTTTTATAATATTGCTGCATTATTTCATAAATTTCATACCTCTTTCAACGATGTTATTCACAATTGAAATGTAAGTTTTCCGATTAATGTTACCTGTATGTCCATGTTATGTTGATTTGCGTGCAGCAGTTGAGGATATTGATTGATTATCAATTCGCAGACTTACTAACAATAAATCAGGTCGGATTATAAATCGCTTAAAAATGTGTTTTTAGTTACAAATTTATGTATATTTTTAAGTGAACATTCAGTAACTCTTTTTTTATAAAAACCGAGATGTTTGGACTTAAATTAAACGATTCTCTTATTGAATGCCTTGGCTATAGTTTGTATTTACTAATATATTTCTGTTCGAAATGAAATGTATAATCAAAAACTGCAACACCAGTAAGATACATCAAATGTTCGCAAAAGTTTTGTTTCTTCCCCTGAAAAACATTTTCCTTTACTTCCTTGTCTGAAAAAAGAAGTCCTTCGAAACTATATATGAGATGGTGTTTTGAAAGTAAAGAAAACATTTAAAAAAAATATTATTAAGCCATAAGTAGCTTCTTCCTTCTACATTCTAATATAGTACCATTTAAATTGAAGACAATAAGACAAGGCACAATTTTTATTTCGTACAAGAGTTCAAGTATACCTCTTGAATATAAAAAGACACCACGGAAATCAAATACACATAAATGGTTTTTATCGATAGAAAGACACAAAAATAATTTGCAGCGCCTTTTTGCCTTTAAAACAGTGACGCCTCCTTTTCAGAGGTACACGAGGCAAAATAAGCATGCTGAATTTTGAAATTTTGAATTATTGGAATTTTGAAATCACCCAATGTGGTTTACGATGTCCATAATAAACTTTATAGCTGACGTTAAGGTTACGTTACTCGTATTTCATCAATGCTATATAAGAGATCTTTTATCATATAAAGTAAGGTTGTATGAGAATAATATGCTAACTTATAAGTATTGAGAGTTAACACTTATTTATAACTGTTTGGCGAAGTTTTGCCTATCTCTAGCCAGTGCAGTCAATTTTGAAAAGGGTGCAAAATATAAGAAAACATGTACTATTAAAAGGTATACAGATAAAAAAAATGAGAAGGCTGTGTGCATTCACCCTTTGAGTTTCACCCTTTGAATACCACCTTGATCAAAAAGTTCTCGGAATAACCCCTGGGTGACGCTACCTTCGTTCGGATTTAAGTTCTGTTTTTTTTGTTTAGTTGGTACATCTGTTGTTGATATTCCCTCTAAATCGTAGCGTCATAACTTGACGTTTGCAAGAGTTACGTAGCCAAGAGTACATCTATCTCTGTGTGTGTTGGCGATTTCTTACAATTTCAGAAATTGATTTAAATTTGCAACAGCGAACTTGTATTAAATTTTGCTTAAAAAACGGCTTTAATGGTGCGCTAACGTTGGAAATGTTGGAAAAGTGTTTCGGCAACGATTCTCTAAAGAAAACGGTCGTTTACCAGTGGCACGAGTGGTTCAAAAGTGGTCGTGAGTCAATCGAAGATGATGAACGCAGTGGCAGACCATCGACATCGAAAACTGACGAAAACATTGATAAAGTAAAAGAAATATTGTTCAATAACAGCAAATTAACCATCAGGGAGATAGCGGAGGGCTTGAACATTGCCTATATATCCGTCCAAGACATTTTGGTTAATGATTTGGGTTTCCGTCGTGTAGCAACAAAGTTGGTCCCAAAAGACCTCATTTTCACGCAAAAAAGAGACCGTGTTGACGTCGCAAAAGACATGATTTGCGAGGCTGAATCCGATCCCACATTCATCAAAGGATCATTACTGGAGACGAGACGTGGGTTTTATGAGTACGACACGCAATCCAGACATCAGGCAAGTGAATGGCGTTCATCAAAGTAAAAATCGCAGGAAGCTCTGATGAACATACTGAAAAACGAATATAAAAAAACGTTTCGAGGATTGGATCAAGCGCTGGCATAAGTGTGTTGCAGTCGATGGGGATTACTTTGAAGGGGACAATATAGATTTAGATTAATAAACTTGTATTTTTAAGTTTCTGAATAAATTCCTTGAACTTTTTGATCAAGGTGGTAAGAGTTTCAGTAAGCGGAACACAAGTATAAAATAAGAGGCAATTTGTGCCTTTAAATTTTGGAGACACAAATGAACCTTTAAAATTTAAAGGCAAAAATGTTTCATTTTTTTTCTCTAAAGTTAGAAGTATTGTTTTTAGAGTGTACCTGGTATGGTGAAAAGCAACTTGTAATCAAAATGTAATTCTATGTGCTTCACGACCACCTAAAAACATAATACCTAGTTCCTTTTTATCGTCTCTGTGTCATAAAAAAACTGTTAAATGACAACTGTTAACTGAAATAATGTTGAACTGAAACATTCACTTCTTTGATTTGGGAGGAATTTCTTCGGGTTGAAGAAAATTAGAGCCAGTATCGCACAATATTTACAGTTAATATTTAAGCAGATATCTTTTGATGTATGTCATTAGGAGATAATTCTCTGTTCCGCTTCCCCATTTGAGCAATATTAGGGTATGGTACTCTATTATTCTTCAGATAAAAAGGCAAAAGAATTGCATGGGACACCTGTAATGTAAAGTTAAATATCACAATTGCCCTTTGTGAATTGATTGATTGATTTTGTAAACTGACCAAGATGTGTTGAAACCATTATAGAGAATTATAGATTTCCTATATTAACTCCGCAGTTACAGCAACGGATCTGTTAATAACACAAAGAAACACTTATTTACTCAGAAAGGTAAAGTAATTGAGCCGTTTAGCTCCCTTCTCAAAGTATCACATTCTGCATACAAAGACCATTATTGCTGGGATCATGATGGTCCTAGCTTCAGTGTGTAAACAGCCATGTGAAGAAAGTGAAAGAAAGGCGATTGAAGGCTGAAAGAAATTGATTGAAGACTTAGATCTGTTGTTGGAAATGCCAACCTGCTGCATAAGAAAAAGAAGTTTCATTTATCAAAATCATGAATCTCTGAAGTTTCTGAAGGTGAACTAGCTGTCAACTGAAGGTGATTTTTTTGTGAGCATAATATTGACTTGCAAGCATAATTATATTTTCGATGCACGCAAATCTACACAAGCTGGCTTTAGCACTAAAACCCTTAAAAAACGCACGAAAGCTGCCATTTTAATGTGCACAGTTACAAAAAAAAATTATAAGTGAGATGGTATCAAATCCAAAATAAAACATTCAGAGACTTAGAATATGTCCCTAAAGTTACATGCATCTACTATTAAAAGCATTATTATTTCAGCAATCAGCAGTACCATAGACGCAAAGAGTAAACGTGTTCCCGAAAGCCAGAACTGCCGATACAGCTAGCAACCCTTCCCATATTTTGAATTCTACGCGATGAAGTATAAAAAAAATGCTTTAAAATATACTGTCAAAATATACAGCACCCAGGATGTCGATACTCTTTGCTATAAACATTTACGGAACTAAAAATCTGATATATCTTATTTTTTACAGTAATATTTATTACAAAATCACTTAATCGCTGTAGTTAAATAAATTATTACTGCAAAATAAATTATTACTGTGAAATATACAGAATAAAAATTTTCAGTCAAAATGGATTTTACGTTAAAATTAATTTTGCGGATCATGCCCCCAGGGTGCCGGTAATTTTACCAAAATTTGATCCGGATTTTTCTACAGTGTGGTGGTTATTTAAAATTATGATTTAGTTTATATTTGAAATTATTTGATTTAGTAAGGTGTATAACATCGTATTTACTTATTTTATTTAGATTTTTTCTTTTGGTAATTTTTAAAATCACTCTTTTTACAGAATTGACTATATTTGCAACCACTAAAGCACCCCTTAGAACTTCAAGAATGACATAAAATGTTTCAGATATTAGTTTTAGAGTCAGAAAGAAAGCTAAGGGAAAGGAAATAAAAAAATAAAATTAAAAAATAAATGGCACATTAATTCAAGGTAATATTAATAAAGGTAACGTTAATAAAGTTAACATATTAATTCAAGCTTCTTATTCTTTCTCTTTCCTAAAAGTATCCATTGGTAGATTTGAGATGAAGTTTGCGTTAATAAATTAAAGAGAATTGCAATGCCGAAGTTTTTGCTAATTAGCTCGAGTCCTCTAAATTAGCTTACGAAATAGTAACGTAATTTGAGTGTATAGTTTCATTTTATTCCTAATTAAACAAAAGTATAAAAAAGGGAGATTCTAGCGTTCGCTCTTGAAGCAATGAATTATTTATTGATTCATTGACAAGGGATATTTTAAAATACACTGCATAAAAATAAATAAATTTTATTAGCGATTCTGAAATGTATTAAATAAATTAGAAACTATGCTCTGAAAAAAAAACGTAACAACTTAATAACATTATGTAATATAATAACATTATGTAATATAATAACATTATATATATACTAGCATTAATGAGTTGGAAATATGTAATAAAAATAATTATTTAATAAGTGTGTTCAAAGAAAATTTAGGTTCATCATTATTGTTTAAAAACAATCTCCTAAAATGTAATTTAAAAAAAAAATTAGATCATTTTCCACGTTTGCTTAGCTTTATCTCCTATTTAGTATTTAGCTTGTACACTATAAAAAAATTCCAGATTAAATTACGATAGAATGTATCAAAACTTTGGGTGGATTTTTCGCAAAACCATTTTACCGTAAAATTCATTTCACCGTAAAATCTATTTTTACCGTAAACTATTATACCGTCATTTTTACTGTAATATTTATTTAATTAGAAGGATCCAGTGATTTTATGGTAATTATTACAATAAGAACAGATTTATATATGTATCAGAAGTGTATCAGATTTTTTTCTGTAGCATGTTTCAGTAAAAATGGGTTTTACGATAAAAAATACTGGCACCCTGAGTTCCGGTATTTTTCACAGTAATTTGATCCGGAATTTGTTGCGTTGCATAGTATGTAGATAAAAAAAAATTTCTGCGCTGGTATATAAAAAAAGGTGACGCTCAAAGGAAAATACAATTAACAAATTTCTCAGAATTCTATATAATATAAACTAATCACAAAGAATTCCAATGCTTAAAATTTTTTCTTAAAGTTCTTTTAAATTTTATTTAATGTCATTTATATAGTGTGTGAAAGCATCTTTTGTACGTTAATATTTTAAATATAATATATTGTATTAAAGAATTTTTTGTACGTCAATATATTGAAAACAAATACTACTTACAAGTATAACTTTAAATTCACAGAAGTGATTTAATAAACTATTCATAAATAAATCAAACAAATGACTAATATTCTCGTTTATTGCCTAAGTCCTTGAGTTATTTTCTCTACTTGAACTACCCCTTAATACGCTTTGAGTACATTTGGAATGTCTTATCCTTCCTCTTAATCCTTAACGCAATTGAAAAATCCACTTTAAAAGAAACAACGCGAATCCAATCTCTTGAAATGGCCTAAGAAGTATCGATACAAAGTGAGATAATTTAGGATTTTGACAAGAGAGAATAGTCGTCTTGAATGAAAAATAAGCGAGTCGAGAAATAAATGCAGAAATGGTCTCTGTATAGATGTCTTGGATAGGTCCATTGAAATATCATCCACCCGCCAAATGGATGAAATGGAATCGGCATCACTGAGTTGGTCACGCCCGCTGGACATTGGAGAAAAGAAAAAAAAATTTGAACGTGAGGCGAATGACATACCTCTATAAGAATGTGTCACTTTCCATCATTATAATGTGATTGAACTATAGAAAAGATATAAATGTACCTTAAAAATGAAATGAAACGAAAACCGTCTATTTGTTTTGTTTTTTTCAATTTTTGAACATCTTATTTACGCAATTTTTCATTTTAACACTGTTTTGCTGGTGCGCATACGACTATCTAATATTTTGTTTATTTTATTTTATTTCGTTTTGCTCATTTTTTTTTGTATTTCAGTTTAGATACAAGAACAATATTAAGCAATTTATAATATTTTCAAATTTTAGTAAAGGAGATGAAAATAAATTGAAATGCTTTTTGTAAATATGATTGTATTTTTACAACCAGAGGCCTATCTTAGAGGATGAAGATAATGTGAGTTTTAATGGCACAAAATCCAGAAAATGACAATACAGTGTTCTCAACCTGGTTACTCAATCAAAGTAATAAAATCATAAAATATTGAAAAAATGAGAAAAAAGATGAGAGAACAAACAGGATAGCCTGATAGTCGTGAAACCGCCATTTTATTTCTATTAAGAAGAGCGTAAGTTACGAATTTCTCTCGAGATCTGAGTTACGAATTTTGAAAATAACTGTATGCAAATGTGTAGCATGTTATTGTGTACTTAAATTAATAATGGAATGTATTTAAAACTATTAATTGCTTTAAATGTCCTCTCCGAATAGGGTTAAACATGTGTGAAAACACAATAATTTTGTCCTAACATCCTCTCAGTGACAAAGCATTTTTGTTCAATTAAAATTGCTTGAACTAACTTATTAAACTACCTTATGAATTACTAAGAAATATTAAAAAATCACACACACAGCGAAATCAACTCGAAAAAATCAAATGAGTGCTCACGTTTTTTGCTAATACTGAAAGGAGATAGATAATTAAAATCAAGAAAGTTTTCGTTTTTCCCAAATATGTAATAAACTGTTTACACTGAGGTGACAAGTCGCGAGAAACATTTTCATATCATGTCAGTCCTCCACTAGAACTACGAATTGCAGTAACGTGGCCACGGCATGGACTCAGCAAATAGTTGGAAGACTTTCGAGAAATTTTCAGCCATGCATAATTGCGAAAGTGTTGCGGATGCAGAACTTTGTGCACGAAATTACCTGTCAATTATATCCCATCAATGTTCAATGGGATTCATGTCAAG